GCAACCACCTCATCTGGTCCCCCCCCCCCCCCCTTAAAGCAGGGATGGACAAACTGTGGCCCTCCAGCTGTGCTGAAACCACAAATCCCATCATGTCTTTGAGAGTCATGTCTGTAGCTGTGAGAATCTTGCAATGCCCCATTGGATTTGTAGTTCCACAACAGCTGGAGGACCGGAGTGTAAAGTGTAAGTAACTCAGCACATGGAAGCTGCCATTACTGAATTGTTTCTTTAGGCCACTGATCCTGGCTTCAATACCTACTACTGTATCTTGAATTTTTTGCTTTTTGCTACTTATTGTCATTGTCTTGGGATAAAGCATGTAATCCATAAAGGCCCCTTTCACACATGTACGGATACCCTCCTGATCGGAGCAGTACGGATTGGATGTCATCCCTGTGACATCCGTGTCAATACAGTTTTTTTCCTCCATCTTGCAATGGAGGAAAAAAGTTAAATCACCGGACCCCATGTTGGTCTATGGGGAATCGGATTTAAACAGACATGTGTCCATTTACATCAGATTACGCTTGATCAACACGATCTGATCCGTTTGTTTTTCCATATCTGGCCATAGACTAGTATTGGGCATCTAATTGGGTCCGCCTGGGAAATTGACAGGTGGATCTGATTGGAACATCCATGTGAAAGGAATCAAAGTCTGAACTCTCACCCTTGATACTTATTAAAGGTTGGGGTAATTTTGATTTTCTCTAAATATCTCTTTCTCAGTATGTTTAGCCTCATGCTTTAACACATATGTATAGTTTTCTAAAGCAAATATTTTTTATGAATCTGTTGAAAATATTTATACCCATAGATCGTGCCAATAATAGCGCTTCCTGTCAGACTGACAAATCTGAGCCACTGCCTTGCAATAAGTAGCAGCCCTCTCAGCCTACAGAGGGAAAGGTAGAACTGGGCTGGCACCGCTGCTTGGGGTTTTAGTTAAGATAATTTGTTGTCAGCTCAAAGTTAAACATACACTGAATTTTCCTGTACGTGCAGGATTTTTAAAATCTGGCAAATGTCTATGTATTTTTTTTAGTTTGCAAAGTCATACACTTTAAAGGACCAAAGCGGCTGCTGTACCAGATTTCACAAGCAAATGAAATCTGGATATCATCTCCAAGCCCAAAACAAAAACAAGTTGCTGCATGGGTAGTAATATTGAGATGTTAAAACTAGAAACCAACATTAAAAGGATGGAATAGAAGTACAGAAGTGAATCAGATTACAATAGAAAACTCCCATAACGCTAATGTGCACCATTTGGGTCTATTACTAATATTACTATTAATGTTAACTATAGCTGAAACTATTTTACATGAAACATAGATAACAGCTGGTGTGCTTACTGCTGACAATGGCAGTTAATGTAAATGGCAAACACACTTTGAAGTATGAATATCTTCTATTACACAAAGATAAACAAGCGTCATCTTCAAAAAAACTTCTTATAAGGGGACCACCAAAGAAGATCATGTGTATTACCTGCATGGTTGAGCAGGGTGGCTCTCTTCTTCAGGGTGGCATCTGGAGCCACAGACAGCTTGACCCTCAGGGTTTTACTGGAGCTACTAGAGTGATTCACGGATGCATCAAAGACTTCATATATAGTATGCAGCAAACTTGTAATGTCCTAGAGAAATTTTGACTGCTAAGAATAGATATGTTCTAGCTCTGTATGTTTCTTTAAAATTATATTTCAAAGTATAAACTATTAATTTTCACCAATATTTAAGACAAGGCGGTAGAACCATCAATTTACCATCAACTGTGTATATAGTGATTATTAGCTATCTTGGTGGTTGATACCTGAACATTTTCCACTGTGCACAGTGGATTCTTTGAAATTGCTACAAGTTTTCTTGCTGCCAAGTGGTACTGTAGCTTCATCTCGTATTCATTTTTTATAACCACTCAGGATACGCAGGTTGGCTATATAAAATCCCATATTCTCCCACATTGCAACCCATTAAACAATTACTTACAGAAGCTGTGTAGTACATGTATGTAAAGTGGACCTTTACCCCCTTTGACCTAAAATCACATCAGCATACAGCTCCTGATATGATAACCTGATATGAAATCATCTTACATCCATTAGCTAAACAAACATATTTTTATTTTACTTATAATTTCTTTTTTTATACTTCCTGGTCCACTTTGGCACAAATAATGTAATCTGCGCCCAAGCATTGCATCCTGGGAAGGTTACATCAGCAGAGCATTGTCAGGAAATCTCATCTGTATGCTCACAAGATCTCAGGGAAAGGCATTTTCCTCCCTTGAGATGATGTGCATGGCCACATGTCCTAGTCACATGTGCCAGAGTTCCAGGAAGTAAAGAGAGATTAAGTATCCTGCCCTTAGTTAAAATGGCCAGAACACTGGGGAAGAAGAGAAAAATAAAGTTAAAGCCTGCAATTGTCTAGAAATATGTGTTTGTAGATTGTCATTACTAAACATTTCTAAAGGTATCTTTGTTGTTATTTTAAAAGTTATGGGGAAAGTTCCTCCACTTGATAGCTATTTATAAGTGTCTAAATTGGTTATTATTTCATGCAGATATTTCCAGCATGTATGGAAAATCTGAGGCAGATCATTGACCAATCTCTTTCTCTAGAGAAACAATAACTTCCGAATGTGTATGCTACATCTAAAAAAGGACAAAAGGCAAGGAAGTTCCTTAAGGTGCAATAATACATATGAGTATCTCATACAGTTCATCTTTCCCACTGAAGGATTTGCTCATCTGCGAGCATCCTAAATGAGTTCTATAAACATATTTGTTTCTACAGTTCATTTGTCACAGCAAGCAAAATCTTGAAATTTTTCAGTATCCATGCATATGCGTTTATGTAACTATAGAATAAATCAGATGCATAGGGGTTGATTTACTAAGGGCAAATAGGCTGTTCGCTTTGCAAGGGGGGTTATCAATTTGCAAGGGAATTTTCTTTTAGCTTAGCGAATGAGGTGACCCTCATGAATGAGGTGCCAGGGGTGGACTGGGCCGGAGGGCAGGGTGGCAATTGCCCCCTGGGCCTCTCTGCTGCCTTTAAAAATGGCCGCAGCCCGCGGTTGTCAGGGGGCCCGTCACTGGCCCCCGCTAAATATACAAACTAGTAGTCCATCACTGGAGCCATTTTTTTTTAAACCCGATTAACCGGTTAATTGAACTTAATCGGCTAACTAATCGATTTTGAAAATAATCGTTAGCTGTAGCTCTATATAAATGGTCACCCTACACCAGGGATCGCCCACTAACCACCAGGGAGCCCCCACTACCCACCTGGGAGCTACCACAGAGACACCACTGATTATTAGGGAGCCCCCACAGAGCACGCACTGACCACCTGACAGTCCGCATTGGCCACCTGAGAGCCTAATTAGGGACCCGCCTCTGCTGCACCCACATGCACCCGTGAAACTCTCTGTACCCCTGGTGAGAGCGCGCACAACCCTCCTGAGACCCTGGAGACATCAAGCGGAGAACCCAGAGCAACAGAGTATGTAGCTTCATATTATTCTGCATTGCTGTATAATGTATTGCTGGGAATTGTAGTTCTCTATAGCCAATGAAATTCTGCAATGCTGTACAATGTATTTCTGAGATTTATAGCCCTCTATAGCTGGTGGTATTATTCTACATTGCTGTATAATGTGCTGAGATTTGTAGTCCCTCTACAGCTTGGAGTTAGTGTCAGAACTACCAGGGTCGCAGCAGTCGTATTCGCGCACAGCACTGAAGAGGCATCCCTCCACTACCAGTGTGCTATAATTTTCCTCAACCCATACTCTACCGCATCTCTTCCAGATGCACATGTCATGAAGAAAGGGGGTCATGAGAACAGCTGATTCGGATGACTCGGCCCCACTGGAAGTGACACAGTCGAGAAAATGTATAGGATCGAGAAAAATTAAAGAACATTGACTTTGACACTGTCCGGCCCCTCCCACTATCCTACCACAGCTCACAGCCAAGGAGCATGGACAGCCAGTGGCGGCGTACAGTGGGCGAGAGTGCCTAAGTAGTGGACATGGAGCGGAGTAAGGCCAGAACCATGTAGGAAGCCCAGTGGGAGGAGAGCACCATCCCCCAACCAGTCACCCCTTTCATGGACTTACTAGGAGTCCTCACATCTCCCGACCATTCACACTCACGTTACATGGATGGCAAAAGTGGCAGACGGGTGGGGAGAATGCGAGGTAGGGGGAGAGTGGGAGGGGGGCCAAGTTGCTGCACCATGAGCCTCTGGGTTGTACTTGCCCCCTGGGCTAAAACTTGCCAGTCAGCCCCTGCCCTCTGCTAAATTCCATCATCCAAACGCATGCAAGCAAAAATACTGTATTTGCGTATTCATTGAAAAGTGAATTTTCACCACATTCACTAAGCTAAGGGAAAACTCCCAAAGCAAAGCGAAAATTCCCTTCCAAAATGAACAATTTAGTTGATTTTAGTAAATCGGCCCTATAATATCTTTATCCACAGGTGTTTTATCATCATAATAAATGATTTTGCCAGGGTGGAACAGAAAAATAGTTTAGGCTGGGTGGAGTTCTATAGGCAAAGCCATTGCAATGAGTGTGAGCATTTTTCTTAGGTGGTAACTTCTATGGGACAGCATAGTTAGCATTACCAACAGAAAATTTACTACTTAGTTGCAGGAAGCATAGAAAATGTCTCAAATCTTTCATACACACGCGTAAGGGTCTGGGAAATCAACATGCAGTAAGGGACACTGGGGATAAATGTGTTCCCAGTCATCCTGTTGTCTTTTCCATAATATAAAATAAACTATAAACTCAACCCCCCTACCTCCCCCATAACTGTAGTAGGTAGTGAACCTATAAGAAATGTGAATTGATTTCTTTCTATCATCTGCCAAAAAACTATAATAGCAACTAAGGGTAGACTAAATCCTTAGGGGTAAATTGCCAAGAAAAACGCTACAATGGTTGAAAGAGTTAATGGAAGGGAGCAGCAAAATGAGTGATCTTGTTCTTTTATACCTCAAACACGTTCATAACATTTTACGGATCACAAAACATTAGTTCAATTATCAGAGCCCGATTAGCCGTTTTTCCTTACAAAGATAATTACAGGACAGCCTGTCAATTGTAGAAAAAGACCTCAAGAGCAAAATAAATTGGACTGTCAATTGAGAAAAGTACTCTATTAGCTCATTCTTTTCAACAGGAGTATTAAAGCTATGCCGTTATCTTAACATGCTCACAAAGACAACACTGAAAGGCTCATCAAAGCCATTAGAAGCGGGGTGTTTTCTACACTCACTTGGCAAGAGAGTCACGGAATGTGTCATCCTGGTAATGAGACAGTTCATATGCAGAAGATTGGCAAAGAGAATAATGTACTAATCAAGAGTACAAACGTTAAAAGCTCCTGCTTTAGGGTCAGCGCTAAGAAAAGAGTGGAATCTTGCTAGGAAAAGGTATTCTATGTTCCAAGGACTTTTTCTTTGCTGAAATCTTTCAGATATTGGAATACAGGTATTATAGAACTAATAACATAACTAATAACTTTTGCACATATAGGTTTTGAATAGGAATGCACCGATACCGATATTTTTGTTCGGTACTCGCCGATACCGAGTACCGGAAGTCCCATTCAGGAAGCCGGGCAGCGGGTAATGACTCGCTGCCCGGCTTTCTGACTGGTCAGAAAGCTTTCTGACCAGTCAGAAAGCCGGGCAGCGAGTCATTACCCGCTGCCCGGCTTCCTGATTGGCCGTGAAGTCGGCTCCATGCTCCCTCGTCATGACGTGACGAAGGAGCATGAATCCAGCTTCCCCGCCAATCAGAAAGCTTTCTGTCAAAAGTGACAAGAGAGCATGGAATCGGCTTCCCGGCCAATCAGGAAGCCGGGCAGCGGGTAATGACTCGCTGCCCGGCTTTCTGACTGGTCAGAAAGCTTTCTGATTCCGGAAGTATCGGGCTAGGCATCGGAGCATTTGGGCGAGTACGAGTACTCGTCCAAATACTCGGCACCGATACTAGTATCGGCATCGGTGCATCCCTAGTTTTGAAATGTGCATACTTTTAGAAATCAATCTACAAGTTGGATACATGTATCTGCAACATCCCAGAACTAAAGAACAAAACCTTACTTCTCGTGTAACTCTTCCACTGTTGTCAAAATCATACAATGTGAAGGTCCATTCTTGTCGGTTGTCCTCTTCCACGGAAACATCACACTGAAGTTCCTAAAGATGTTGGTTAAAGACATAAGTTTCAAAGTACTCCTTTAAATGCATCCATCAAATAAGTGTCAACTCTTTGAAGGAACAGTAAAGTCTTGGAGAACTTAATTGAAAACAAGCCATAGGCAACCATTTATATATGTTTCATACCAATGAGTCTAATTACAGCAAATACATTTTTAAAAAAAAGGACCTACATAAGGGGTGATGGCCATATTATTATTTTCACTGACATTTTAACTTGCAAATCACTATTAAAGGTGAAGTGAATTAAGATAAAGAAATCAATAATGGATTAACCATATAACACAATAAACAATTAGGTGAGGCTTACACCAGTGCAATAACATAATACTGTTACCCGCTTGACTGTTTATGTTTCCTTACCACAATTCAAGAAGTCTTATAGAAAAGAGCTATGACTACGGTTCACAGAAATACATTAAACTATTTCAGAAGCTTATCACATACACACTTAAAGTGATTTTAAAGCTTTAGATTTTCTTTTTTTTTACCAGTGGGAGGCAGTCTATATTGCAGATCATTGTTTTTTCTTTTTATTTCTCAATTCCTCGTTTTCTAGTGGGTTCTCGCATCCTCTCTCCCCTCGCCCCATGCACGGGTGCCGCCAGCAGCTAAGAGGCTGCTGTGGAAGCACCCGTGCATGTGTGGTGTTAGTAGTAGTTGTGTGCGTCCATAGACACATACAGCCCTGTGGCAGGCCATGCCCCTCCTCTCTGCCCAACACTTTGGTGGCAGAAGGAGCCTATGGCTCCTCTGCCCTCAGTATCCTCCTCCCACAACCAGGAAGTTCAGGACGGAGGATCGCTTTGCGTACCAGCAGCGGTGACAAGTGGCGCTGACAGGTAAATTTGGGAGGGACGGGGGAGTCAAAAAGGTACTGGGTGTTTTTTACCCTAATGCAGAGAATTCATTAAGGTAAAAAGGGCCCAACTGTTAATACTACATTAAAGTATAATATATATAATTATATAAGAGGGAAAATGTTCAAACCTTGTTGGACCTTATCTTTTCTCCTTGATCCAGGCAAGGAGATCTGCTTTAATCTTTGGTCTGCCTGTGTCAGCTCGACTGAAAGAAAACCCTTATGGTTACCCTTAAAGATTGGACTACGCACGTATTCTTACAAAGTATCCACTGTAGGCCAAGTTGAACCTTAAAATGGAACTATGGGGTAAGTGTTTTTCCCCATAGTTCTCTTAAGGGTCACGAGAGGACATATACTAACCTCCCCCTGTGACCCTCAGCTCAGTATATAGCGAGCTATTGCAAGCGATATACTGGGAGAGCCACAGCCGGGGCGGATACAATACTGTCAAGATGCACCCAGCTGCGTGAGTGACAGCTGGTTCTGCCTATCTAGAGGTAGAGCCAGCTGTGCCCGACCCCTCCTCCGTTCGTTCCCCCACTTAGTGCTGGAGGATCGGAGAGGGGGGAATCCCTGTGGGGAGTGATGACTGACAGACACCGCTCACTGCCGGGAGACGATAGTGAAGTAAGCGGATCGGCTGCATGTTTCTGCTCACTTCCCAATCAGTAGAGCAATAAAGCTGACATGTGACAGCTTCTTTGTCACAGGTCGGCTCTAACTATGAGGATGAGTGGAAATCAGCTCACCTCATAGTTCTCTTTTTAATGAAGCACACAGGACTTAGCATTACTTGTCCTATGTCTTCAAGTACGCTCTTCATAGCACTATATAGCGAATCTACTGCTGCAGATTAACGGGGGGGGGGTTGAAGTTCCTCTGTAAGCACGTTACATGTGTCAGGGAATTGTGTTTTAAGATGAGAAGCTCTTTAAAAACAATAGGTATAAGAACTATGACAGAAACCCGTCTTATCTTTTCCTGCAAGCATTATTTTGCCTTTAATACAACACAGTGTAACCATTGACCTGTTAACTCCTTTCTTATATTGTTCTCAGTCATAAAGTGCAAGTAAAAAACTGCTTAAAATACATCAAGTTGAACCAGCAAAGTAAACTGCTGAAAATAGCCCAGGTTATGTGCAGCCCAGTTACCTGCTAGATTTGCTGACTGAAATCCATTCCCTCTGGCAGTTCTAAAGAGTCTGTGTCCCCTACTGAGTTCAAAGCCTCCTGACTGTAATAAGCCAGCCTGAGATATTGCAAACGGTACCAGTCTCACATTACATGGTACTCGCTACTACGCTAATTTTCTAGGAGAAGCTAAAACAGGAGCAAAAGAAGGAGGTCTGGATCAGAGATAAAAAAGTATCTTAAAGAAGCAAGGGGACACCAAAAGTAATAACAGAGCATATGTGCTACAATCATTGTTATCTTCTGTACCAGTAACATCCCTATATATTCGGATCCTTCTCTATAAACACATATATTTGGCACTATGCAAAGAAAATGACAGCAGCTCCCATTAAAGGAATGTATATTGTTTTTTATTTTTTATAAACATCTAAACAAGATCAGCATCATATAAATAATATTATCAGTGGGTGTTGATATTTTGAAAACATTGTTTTGTCTATAAATTTTAATTATATACTGTTTGTGTACGGGCAAGCCATATTCACTTATTACATATGTCGTATATGCTTCCTGCTTTGCAATGCTAGCTGGCTAATTGAAAACAATACACTTCCTGTGTGGCTGATATCTTAATTCAGTTAACACTGAGTAAGTGCACTGAATCACTGACAGTTCCCTCTAGTGATTAATTAACAAATATCAAAATTTGATGCTACTGCAAAAAAGTCCAAATTTGTAAGCATTTGAAAATCATATAAAATATACTTTAAGGTAAACTCTGCAATAATTTCTCAGAATATGCACTTAAATTTCACTATACTTTCCTCTGAGGATATATATGTTAGGGACATTGAAAACTTTTTTTTTTCTGTGTCTTTAAATAATAAACCTATACCAGATGATGTAATATTAACACATGTAAATAAATAATTATTATTCGAGTATTATAGAAAGCAAGATCTCGGAATTTAGGGTATTTTCTGGTACAAAAATATGCCTATTTCTTTAAATACATATTTAACTGACCATAGATGTGACAAACATGTGGGCCTAAAAAATTAAAATCAACCTTTCAAGAGCGTATTTATTAAACTATGTCATAATGTCTAATCTCTAATACAGTTAAACATTTGGTGGAGCATGCTAGTCTTTTAAATTTACAGTTTGCATTGATAGGCATTAAACAGGTTTACAGTTCCACGAATGGAGGAGATCATACTAATGAATTGAGGAGGTAGGTGTTTATGGGCATATATATGCCTATAACCAGCGCTTGAGAAATTTTATGGTGTCTCACCAGTCAGTCAAAATTTAACCAGTCAGTATGATTGGACTACAGCCATGCAATTTATGTTAAAAAACATTTGGGACAGATAGAGCTTTCTTTTGCTGTTATTTAATCACCACTGAGGTTTTTATTTTTTTACTATATAATGAAAAAAGTACCGTAAATTTAAAAACAAAAACAAATTCCCTATGTTATGTTAAAAAACATTTATTCTTACCCTTATTTTTGGTAAAATATAAAAGACAGGGTCACATCTGGTAAATAGACATATAGACAAACATGTCAAACTTTAAATTGCATGCTCCCGCAAAATCGCAAAAAAATACCATACCTAAAATTAGCCACAGGCGACGCTTTAAAAGCTTTAAGTGCTCATTAATTTAGTGTTAATAGTGATTAATGGCCCTAAAATTATTGCTCTCACTCTGACTTTCGTGGTGATATGTATCATGTGTGGCACAATGGGCACAATCTCCATTTTCACATGTAGGCACACCCAGCGCATGTTTGTGTGTGTATATGGGGGGCAGGGGACTTTAAAAAAAATATATATTTTTTTATTTGACTTTACATTTAATTTTTTGGTAACTTTAAAAAAAATTTCACTTTACTTCATTGCTATCACATAGGGGGCTAAGAATCCCCCTATGTGATAGCCAATTTACACAGACAGGTCCCCTTTATGGAGACATCAGGGGTCTCTAGGACAACCTAATGTCACTTAAGGACCCCCAAAGAAGCTGATGAAGCAGATAACTGCTTCACCAGCTTCTCTCCAGCTACAGAAGCTGGAGAATGACAGCTGAATGCGGAAGTGATGTAATATACAACACTCTTGCATTCGGAGTATGAGGAGGAGATCAGAGGGAGATCATGTGACGATCTCCCGCTGACCTCTGGTGACAAGAGCCTCCCACACACCCGAGCGCATTATATAAGCGATCCAGCGGCTCTACAGTGTCGGTTGTATGTAAACCGCGCTGCTACTCGTCTGGCTCCAGGGTTCTCTTGTCACAAACGAGAGGATTAACTAATTTTCAAGCCCTGCCTATAACTGTATTTCCTACTGGGCTAAATGTGAACATGGCTGTCAACTGTGTCTTATGGTTTCTTCCACCGGTTTATACAGTAAACTCCCCATTATCCGGGATTTAAGCAACCCAAAAAGAAAATGTGTCCTCGATTTAGTTTTTTTTGCCGGTGGCTTGAGGGACATTTAAAAATAGCTGGTTGCTTGGTGTACACTAACAAATTTCATTAGCAACTAAATTTATAGATTTCATGGTCTGCAGCAGAATGTAAAGAATGGGGAGAAATAGCTAGGCTGTGATTGACTATTGCAAATAGCAATAGCCAATCGCAGGCTGGCTATTGTGCCCACCCATTGATCAGAGGAGTGGACCTGAGAGAAATTTATCTCTCAGGGCCACTCCTCAGATCGGTAGGTGTGGTTTCAATAGCCAGCCCCCGCTTTCCCCCGCAGCCCCATTCGCCTGCCAGCTAGCAGCTAGCTTCTGCAGCCGACAGGTGAATAGGTTTCTATAGCCAGCCTGCTATTGGCTATTTCCAATTGCAATAGCCAATAGTAGGCTGGCTATTGACCCCGCC